TTTGAACAAACATTATTTTACTCCTATAATCCAGAAGCTTATCCAACAGAACAGAAGAATAGGGATTCAAATATTAAGTTAGCTATTATAGGAGTCTCAACAGAGACATTATAAACCCGATTAGAATAGGTAGGAAAAGAAAAAAATAATGAAGACGTCGAATAACTGAAGGGTGCTACGAATTGCAATATCGGAAAGATCTAGAAAAATGTAAGAATATTAACAACATGCCATTGGATGAAATGAATGGAAAACTCACAAAGGACATGTTAGAAACTGCACAAAGCACCGCAGGCAAAACAGGAAGATACAGACAAAATTTACAGCAGAAACTGAGTATATGATCCAAAAGAAAAAAATGTTGAAATGTGAACCTAGCATATAGAAAAAACTTGCAGACACTAACAAAGCGATCCTTAAAAGCATAAGAAAAACAAACACTTCTAAATGGCAAGGGATCTGATACTCGATCACGCTTAGGCTATCGCTCACCTCACTTCTGCATGAATGCTTCATGGAAATGTATACTACTATTTCTAGCTATGGAGAAACTTATGATGGTCACTACGAACGATCATGAAATATAACATATAAACCAGGACATCCTAAATTTGTGCGTGACGATGCTAAATGAAGAACTAACTAGATACCTTTTTATATATTGGGCACTTATTTTACCAGAGTGACTCTGATGGTAAGAAAACGTCTTAGGAATCGAGTAACGAAAATTTAGTCTATCTTACCACAAGCTTTATATATTATGTGAATGAAAATAAACAGCGGATACATTCTAGATATATCAGGTGTACCTACTTACCCGCGTCTCTGATATTGAGGTAGTAGAACAGTTATAATATAGGGTCATTACTACGGCGAAAACTAGTGAAAAAAGCCAATTTTGTTATAATCATGTCCCAAACGAGAGTACCTAATTTTGGTTTTGGCCAGAATAACGATAGAGGAGAAATGTTATTAAGCTGTAGATATGAAATTTTTTTCTACCTTAACTCTTTTTTCTCCAAAAACCATTGCAAAGAAGTCTTGAAGTAGCCCGAATGGAAAAACACAACACGAAATCGACAATATTCTAATCAACTGAAAGGGTGTAGAGTATGCCAAGATGTCACCGTTTTAGTGCAAGGGTGCCTCTTTTAGTTGAAAACGCAAGATCGTAACAAAAAAAAACGCCCCTGAAAGCAGATTCACGGTGTGAATAGTGTACTTTAAAATACATGCCATAATATTTCATCTGACTATGACCAAACCGTGACTTAACCTATAGTATAATAGAAAAGAAAATGTGCCTCGAGTATGCAAAGAAAATTTAAGGTTATTAGATTATGTCTCACCTGTTGGAATAGAGTTTTATTGGCCACAAAAATACTCTTATCCGCTGGATTAGTCTGGACTCGAGATCCTGGATAGAATATAATGGTTTCTAGGGCAGCTTTTCACTAATGATCAAATAGAGAAAGTCAGAATCTTTTGTGGGAAAAAACGTGCAAAGCAAAACTTGCCGAAATGGTTTTTAAAAATCCGAAATCATCGGCGAAATTATGGCACATTACGAAAACGTAACGCAACGTAAGGCAACTCAATGTACCATAAAGTCAATAACTGAGAAAATTAGGTCCAAAATCCCCTTTGGGGCGAAGACAAAATTAAATTCTTCAAAAGAGACCCTTTTTTCGGAACAACAAAATCGTAAAAGGAAGATTCAGCACAAGTAGTTAATTAGTTGTCCTAGATTTGAAGAATAGAGATGAGGCAAAGTAACGACAAATGTCAAAAATTAATCAGTAAACAATGAACAATCATAATTTGAAGAATATGACATTGAAAAAGCAATTCGTGTTGTAAAACGTTATCGCTTACAAAAGAAATCGACGATCCCGAAACATTACGAATCGAAAGGCCAACTGACAAAAATGAACGACATTCCTGCCGTCAGCTGGCACACAAATCATGAGTAACATGACTTAAGTGTCACTATAAAAGAGAGACCAACTTGGTGGTTTATGGAAGCGGATTCCGGAACTAAATCTGGTATTGATTTCAGCAACCGAACAGAGTACGTGCAGCATGCAGTAGGTACAGACTTCGCGAACGGATCACGATTTGGAAAACCTTACCCAAGAAACAATAATTGATTTGTTTACATAATATTAATTTGGAAATGGAATTAAAATACTGTTTAAAATCGAGGAAAATCATTCGTCGTCAACAAGAACTACTCAAAACTTAAAAGTGAAAAAAGAATTTAAATAATAAAGATTAGAAAATTTTCAGGATCTGCAACTACTGGAATTATTGTTGAATTTTGATGAAATGTGAACAAAGCCTAAAAAACTCAGGGAAAAATTAAATATCTTTAGGAATTTTGAATGGAAAACTGAGAATAAGTGTGATATAGCTAAAGGCAATTTTGGCACGTTACAACCCCCCCTCTCCTACGATAGGGGGGAAAGTGACAAAGAAACTTTTCCGACGATAATCTAAGCAAACTCGAGAACTAAGATATTATAAAGAATATTAAATGTATTTATAGTTTAAATTTAAATTAAATCAAAATGACTATCAAGGTAAAACAATTAAAAGCTGGAATGAAGGTAGTAATGTGTCTTCCCAGAACGGGTATCTGCGCACTCTGCCTTGAAAAACACAAACGTAAGATAACCAAAGTCAATGAAGCTAAAGGTAAAGGCAAAAAAAGTCCCAAAGAAGAGAAAAGAAGAAAAAGTGAAAGAAAGAAATGAAGTTATTGAAGCTCCGGTTGTTCTGCGATGGAGAACACTAGGCAACCTCCTCGCTGTATCCAGTGTAGGTGGAAAATTCAGCATTTTTTTTTTTTTTTGAAATTTGAGTTTTATTTTGTCGCAGTTTTTAAGTGAATTTTTTTTCGAATTGGATTTAGGGCTGAAGGTGTGAATCGTATATGTTCACCAAAACCTGAAGCGAGCCTGCTTAAGTGGTCAGCAATCCGTGTCTTCAATGGTCTACAAGTAGGCCCTACTCCTAAATAAGATCAACTGCACGAATCGCATTCCAACTTATAGAACTGCACTTTTGGATAGTGTGTCAATAGAGAGATATTGCAGGTGCTTGTCTTATTAGGGCAAGCCTTATTTTGACAGCATGCGCAGTTTCCATCTGGAATAAGGACAGTCTTATTGAGGATACGGATCTGCCTTATTTAGGAGAAAATAAGACCTGCCTTATCTTTGCCTTATTTAGAAGTTCTTAATCGATCGGCGTTGATCGGTAGCAATAATAGTGAACTGATTTTTGTTGTGTTTTGTGATTATAACCATATTTTAGATTCATTACAAATTACAACATATTTTGACTTTTCTTGAATTTTTCTTTCCAAACTTGGAACAAAATCAAAACAGCATCGAGGCACAGAAAAGAGGCAGACAAGGATTACGTATAACGACGAACTGGTTTTGCTTAGAGAATTTGTGTCATATTCCTTCCACTGTTCTACGATTTTACACGTACTAGGTATTTAAATATTTCGAACAAACAATTTTTTTATTTTCAAGCATACATTTCACAAAAAACAAAAAGAAAACATTTCAAGTTCAAAACTAAAAAAATAAACATTCACAAAAATTCAAGATTTTCAGGTTAGAAATAAGGCATCAACTAACTCCCAGCCGTTTTTGGAAATTTGCAATATCTAAACTTGTCATTCGAAGTAAGGAAGTGACCTATCGCGTCTCAATAAGGTTTAAGCCTTATTAAGGCTGATTTGCAATATCTCTAATTTTGTCCGAACAAGAACCCAAGTTATTCTTTCTTATAAGAGATGTGTAGGTCACTTTGATGTTTAAGAAAAATATTGTAAATTTTTTTATTAAGAAATGAACTTATGTATGGGACTATATATTTTTTATTTTGAAGTATGTTAACAGTATGTGGGAAATATTTCTTTCTGAAGTTTCTCAAGTTTGATTTTGTTGGTCAGGTTGGGGTCATAATTGTGGTTTAATGCAATCTGTTGGAGAGCTTCAAATTCTTCGTTGTAGTAGGAGAAAGAGGTGTGCTCGAAAGACGATGAGTGTAGCAGTAAAATGAGGCTATTTTATGTTAGTAGGTATGGTTAGAGTGGAAAAGAAGTACATGATAAGTTTCGCTTGGTATTCTGTAAATTGAGAATTGTAATCCATTGAAGTCCTTGTGAATAGTTAAATCAAGAAAAATTATTTCGGTCGTCAACTTCAAGTTCAAAGGTAAAAAAAATTTTGGGGTGTAGGTTATTCAACTTATTTGAAAGAAAACTCGCTCCCTGGGCGTCACGATTGAGTAAAGAGAAAACACGGACAATCGTCCACGTACCTATACCAGTGCAGTATTTCGCCTATTGACGCTGGTGATTATGCACCTGGAGTCAAGATAATCCATGAAAATATCTGCTAAAAAAGACGAGAGCCATCAGGTTGCTGATAGAATTTATTGTTGAGCACAAAAAAAAATTGTGAAAGGCAAAGATTAATGTACAAATGTGGTATTAATGTCATTTATTTTGCCTTTCAGCCACTCCCTCGACTTTAAAACTTAAAAAGCATTTGCTTCGTAAAAAAAAAATTGCAGTTTTCTATAATTTTTTCAATAGAATCAATCGAATCAGATTGAATGAGGTGAGACAACTCGTAATTTCAAATGCGAGCGGTACCCATAGAAACTTCCCGCCAACTTTCATTTAAACTTCTCGAGAAACCCCCTTTAGTGCTTCAAAGATAATAGCTCTACATGTTTTTTCTTTTGTAAATATTTGAACATTTTGAGTGCCTAACAAAATTATTCTTGCAGCAGAAATAACAGCAACTTTTTTGAAAAGCTGGCAAATGATTTATTCATACATGAGTCATTTGTGCAGTTGAATAGGTAGCTAAACGAAACCAAAATTAAAAAGCAGCACTGAAAACAAAATTGCTACCTTCTCTTTCGGTGCGTTGGTTTTTAATCCATTGAAGCCAATGTCTCTTTGTTTGCAGGACAATGACGGCCCTATGTTTCGTTTGTAATTTGCCGATTCTCTCTCATCAAGTTGGTCTGGTGTGGCAGGGTGGAAATGGCTGGGATGATATGGTCAGAGAACAGGTACGTATTTTGTGCATGGAATTTTTATGCCTCCGGCAATTTTCAGTAAAAATAGTCAGAGCTAATTGCTGCGACTTCCCAGAAATAATAGAACACTCACAAAACCCTATGTATATCCGCCAGAGAGTAGGAAAAAAGGTGTTTTCTGAAATAATGCGGTGGGGTAAAATCAAAACAATGGCATAGGAAAGTTCAATGCAAATGAGCCCTGTGTTCGATTCTGTTCAATGTTTACCTCAATTAAATGGAAAAATTAAGTGTTTTTGGGATTTCACAGGAAAAATCATCAACCGATGCTTACTTTGTATATAGTGGGGTGAATTTATTGCAAGGGAAACGAATGAATTCGGGCTAGTCATAACTAAAAATAGAAAAAAGGGTGACTATTTATTTGAAAAAAAAATATATTAATTTATTATTGTTATTTATTTTATTGTTGGGTTTCTACCCAATGTATAATAAATAATAGCTTTCCGTACACAATTGTTGAAGTTTTCCAAACATGAAAAAAAAAAAAAAAATGAGCCGTGATATACCGGGTGTTTTTCAAAACCCGCCCACCCCTATAACTTTTTTATTTTTCCATATTATAAACAAATGAAATTTGGTGTGTCCATTTATGACCCAGATGTGCATTATTTGACGTATTTAATTTTTTACTATCACTTCCGGTTTGACCGGAAGTGACCCTAACTTTCTTATTTTAAATGAAACGCTAGGTATATTTTTCCTCATTTTAATAGAAAACTACATTACGAGTACAATGACACCTCATTTGTCACTTTTTGACATTTCATCACCAAATTATTTGAATTTTTACTTTTATATCTAGAGCACCATGAATAAGTCAAAATGCTTAATTTTGCTCCTAGGAACATGGGAAAATTTGTTTTGATCTTATTTTGTATTTTATATCCTCTACAGACTCATTTAAAGACAGTAGAAGAGCATTTTTAGAATTATATCAGTTTTTTCAAATGGAAAGGGTATGGCTCATGAGCATGTTCCAAAAGAGCGTTTTCTAACGAGCAATTCAGTACCGCACAATCGCTAGTTTGGGTTAGTTCATCACTCAAATTAAGAATTTATCTAGCATTCTAAATATTTTTGGAAAATTTTAGTTCAATATTTGAATAAACTAGCGATTGTGTGGTACTGAATTGTTTGTTAGAAAATGCTCTCTCGAAATATGCTAATGAGCCATACCCTTTCCATTTGAAAAAATTGATATAATTCCAAAAATGCGCTGCTACTAACTTTAAATGAGCCTTTAGAGGATATAAAATTCAAAATAAGCTCAAAACAAATTTTCCCATGTTTCTAGGAGCAAAATTAAGCATTTTAACTTATTCATGGCGCTCTAGATTAAAAAGTAAAAATTTAAATAATTTGGAGGTGAAATGTCAAAAAGTGACAAATGAGGTGTCATTGTACTCGTAATGTAGTTTTCTATTGAAATAAGGAAAAATTTACCTGGCGTCTCATTTAAAATAAGGAAGTTAGGGTCACTTCCGGTCAAACCGGAAGTGATAGTAAGAAATTGAATACGTCAAATAGCGAGATATAATAAATAATAAATAAACACACCAAATTTCATTTGTTTATTTGAAAAAAAAAAAAAGTTATAGGGGTGAGCGGGTTTTGAAAAACACCCGGTATACCTAAGGCGTCTAAAAAGAGCTATCATTATAATGTGATCATTGTTATTTAATTATTATGTACCTATCATTAGAGTTATATTTTAATTTAAATTGACCTGCAAGTGAAACAGTTAACTTATATTTTGAATAATTTTTTTTGGCCATCATATTAAGATAATATAAATATAAGTGGCATTCTTAAAAAATGTATTTTCTTGAGAAACTAATGTCAAGAGCATATCAATATACCAGTATAACATAACACAATTGCAATTGTAATAGTATATTACATACCGAGTAGGGAAGTGTTTTATTACTGTCGAGAGATTTATAGGTATAGTCAATCGAGACGCGAAGCGTCGAGATTGACTATTAATCTCGAGACAGAAATGAAAACTTTCCTCCGAGGTTTGTATACTATTTTATTTGCAAGCACACCATTAATTATGATTATTCATTTAATTTTTTCATTATTAAAAAAATAAAACAAACATGCCAAAATCTGTCATTCACTGTTTTGACGTTTTTACCTGACATGTTCTCAATGTCAAGATTACATATATGGTTGCAAATAAAATATTTTATTTGCAATCATATATGTAATCTTGTCATTACTGACTTTTTAAAAATTTGGAAGTGACACTTTACCTGTGTCACTTCCCTCTTCGATTTCCCTCACCGATTTCCCTATTCGACTTCCCTCACCCATTTCCCCCACTCTAATTTATTTACCTTTGCTGGCAACAATGAGAACATGTCATGTAAAAACGTCAAAGCAGTGAATGACACATTTTGGCATGTTTGTTTTATTTTTTTAATGTTAAAAAAATTGATTGACTAATCATAATTAATTGTGTACTTGCAAATAAAATAGTATACAAACCTCGGAGGAAAGTTTTCATTTCTGTCTCGAGATTAATAGTCAATCTCGACGCTTCACGTCTCGATCGACTATATAAATCTCTCGACAGTAATGAATCACTTCCTACTCGGTATGTAATATACTATTACATCGTGGGGCTGAGGAATATTTCCAAAGATAACAATTTCATTCCAAGTTAATGGCGTTTAATGCCATTCCATCCGATAAACGCAAAGCGATATTTATCTAAATTCAATACGGAATCTGCTTCAATTCTCAAGGCTTCGTTTCTTTTTTTGATGTTTTCTTTTTTTGGTGCAGAAAGCCGCGGTTTTAAGAGCATATTTGAAGTGGGAGATTGAGAATAACGAGAAAATATATCAAGGAAGTGCGATATCTAGTACAGAAGTGTACCTGCTGAAACTGCGTTTATTGCTGCAAGTAGTTGGTGACGTAGTCGAAAACCGACCAGCTCGACGAAAAGTCGAGAAGTCTTCGAAGATCCTGTTGACCAATTTCTCCAAGAGCCAAATAATCAAGTTAACAAGGCAGAGTGGTCAGTAATAGGATGGCATGAGAGCTTTTTACCTGGCTTAAGAATCAACATAACTTTATTGCTGAGGAAAAGGGCTGTGGTTTCGGGACGAAGTTGACTTGTTTCTAAGCCGCCTCATTCCAATTGAAAGCCTTGTCCTGCTGACGAAGGTTTTGGAGTTTCTTTGTCCATCTATGATCTCGCTCACGGACGCCATTTTCAATTACTACAAAGACTTCGTGGAGTCGTTGGCGATCCTAGTTTTCTGGTTGCTTCGCCATATTTTCTGGGCGCTGTTATCCAGTGAAATAAGATCTAAGAGCTCTTGTGCTAAGTAGTTACGGACTTGGAGGACAGTCACACGGGTAGCATGATAAGTGTGAACAATCTGAATATCGCTGGTCAAAGTCGATTTTACCAGAAATGTGGGTAATGGCCACTTTATATTTCGCTACTTTTTTTTTTCTTTCTTCAAGTTTCTTCCCCTCGAGCTTATTGCTGCTATACATCTGTAACGGTTTTAAAGTTGGCAGTTTTTATATCAAGGTTTTGATGCCATTTTCAGAATAACCAACCACAGAAATATTAATGAACGTCAGCTATGTTTTTATGGTTGTGTTGAGTGTATTTGGTTTTTGGTTTCTTTACATTGTAATTTGAAACGTATCTACTAAATTCAATTATCTCGATATAATATCAGTATTGCCATCTATCCATAAATAAAATGAGCGTGAAAATGCAAATATCTGTTACTAATAAAAGTACTAACGTACCGCTAACTAGTACCTAGTAAGTTTGTTTTAAGATTGTGGTAGGTTTCAAGCTATCTTTTGTGTGCGTTTGAATGATTTCTTCTGATTGGTTTGATGATTACTACGCAGTTGAGTATAAAAAAGCACGAGACTAGTTTTCTTCAAGGGAATTGGGTTCTAAAAAGGTCTCTTCTCTGGCAGACCGTTGAACAGGCAAGTCGATTTTCATTTTTTGTAATTTTTTTTCCTTCAGATTTCTAGATTTTTTCTTAATATTTTTCAATTTAATTCACCATTAGTATCTACTATCACTATCTTATCTTATCAACCTTTGAAATATAATTATTATATTTTAATTTTTTATCGAATGTGAACCTCCATTTTGTGTCGTACCACATTTTTCTGAGGAGAGTCAATTCAAAGTTTTGTCAAATAAATGGGTATTGCTGCTTTGGTTTTCGGAATAAATTGTTAGTATGGGATTATTGGACCATTTCCTCTAAATAGAGTGGGTGTACACCGAATTCGTGTGTCCATCCCTATCAACACTGCCGAATCCAGGCAGAAGCCTATCTAGCCATTTATTGTTTGACTTCCTCATTATCGTCTCAAAAAGGAGAGTTCTGAAAGGGTGAAGTTTTAAGATAGAAATCTGGATAGGTTGAAAATTCATTTAAAATGTTTTAATTAAAACGTCTCGATAATTTTTACAGTTTCTTGGATTTAATTTATTTCACCGTCAGCTTTATCTTGTAGTACCAATACTAGGTGCTTTAAGTTAAAAGGAAAATTTATCTATTTGGGGGAAATCTAGGTTTATTTAATTTTTTTATTTTGTTGGATTTTGCCTATGTATATATATTTTTTTAAAAGTTTGCCTGTTCAGCGCCGCTGCTTGAGAAGCAGCATTTTGCACAGTGTTAACCAGCACCCATTTTCAATCTTGGTGTACTTACTTACCTACTTAATTATTGCTACTTTATTTTACATATATATTTTTTTTTAAAATTATTTAATTGTTTTTCTATAAAAATATTTTTTCAATTTGCAAAAATTGCTCATACCTGATTCTGTTGGAAAGGAGTATCTGCGCAACAATAGTTTTATAATACACTAATTGCATAATAATTTTGTATAATACTTTTGCAGTTTGCTATACACTGTCGTACAGTTGGCGACACGAAAAATATTGAAACTTGCACGCATATATA